GAAATTTCAGATCCCTTTTTATTAATGGTGGACTTGAAATTTCAGATCCCTTTTTATTAATGGTGGACTTGAAATTTCAGATCCCTTTTTATTAATGGTGGACTTGAAATTTCAGATCCCTTTTTATTAATGGTGGACTTGAAATTTCAGATCCCTTTTTATTAATGGTGGACTTGAAATTTCAGATCCCTTTTTATTAATGGTGGACTTGAAATTTCAGATCCCTTTTTATTAATGGTGGACTTGAAATTTCAGATCCCTTTTTATTAATGGTGGACTTGAAATTTCAGATCCCTTTTTATTAATGGTGGACTTGAAATTTCAGATCCCTTTTTATTAATGGTGGACTTGAAATTTCAGATCCCTTTTTATTAATGGTGGACTTGAAATTTCAGATCCCTTTTTATTAATGGTGGACTTGAAATTTCAGATCCCTTTTTATTAATGGTGGACTTGAAATTTCAGATCCCTTTTTATTAATGGTGGACTTGAAATTTCACGACCCTTTCTTTTGTTGGCAAGACTTGTGTGTATTCAGGCAATGTTTTTTTTCTAGCTGGCAGAGGGATGGGCAGAAGGAAAGGGGGAGAAATAATCTTGAAAATAAATGCAATTTCTGTTCCCAGTCTTGCTGCTTGTTCCTCTGCCTCTTTGAGCAGCTCAGAGGTTTTTTTTATTTTGGTCCTCTGCCTCTAAAATGACAGTTAGAAACCTCTATCCTAGACAGTTCTTTCTGAGAAAGTGGTTTTTTAATGTATCCTGTGTGTTATTCAGTAAGAAAAAGGATGTAGGTTTTGAGTGTGGTTTTACAGCATAGTTTTTGCTAATATTTATGATCCTCCGTTCAGTACTTCTTCTAAATAAGAACTAAATATACTGTATATACAGAACGCTTCACCCAATTCTGAGAGACAGCTCAGTTTTCACTAGCCATGCAACGTGGTAACTTTTGACAAGAAGCAGAAATGCGATTGCAGAGGGAAACTAGCAATTTCACAAAGCAGTTGTCTGCTGGCTGTTAGCCAGGACAGTGGGTTGAACACCCCTGCTCTTGTTGAAAGTACCACAGGCTCTTTGATAACAAGTGCTTGGGGATTTGTTGTTTTAATGTTCCATCCAAAAAAGACATCTCCAACATCACAGGATCCCAAAACACCTGCTGGGGTATTGGACATACATGGAAGAGTTCCATCAACAGCATTTTCTTCAATTCCTTGGTTTTTCTTGGAAGTATCTCAACCAGAGTACATCGACCACGCTTGACCTCACTTAGCTGTAAGATGTAACAAAGCTCACAGCTTAGCTATCCTGGCTACAGAGACTTTAATTCTTTGTGAATTAATTTAGTTGTCTCTCTTGAGTTCTTGGACAGCATTTAAAGAGCATTCCCCATACCTGCTGCTCTTCGTGAAGAAGTACAGTAACTTTTCCTTTTTTCCTCTGCCTGGTCTCATGAATTTGCCAACTTCTTGGTGCATCTATCTGAGAACAGTGGCCACAGGTTGAGACTTGCCCAACTCGCACAGTAAAGAGGGAAATTAGTCTAATGCACTGCCTTAACAAAAGAGTATGAGGATGAATAATTAATACCACTAGTCTGTGGCAGTCGGATAAAATGAAGTCCCATTTGCTCAGCCTTATTAAAAGAGAGAGAGAGAGGGGGAGAGATGGTAAAGGTCGTTAAGGGACTTGTAACATGGAAAGAATCGCCTCTGAGATGGATAATGTGTTTTCTAATCTCTGTGGTCTTTAACTAAACATAATGGTAAAGGTACTTTGACTATTTCTGGCCTGCTGAATTATTAAGCATTCTGGGAGATTGCTTGGCTCTTAGCCAATAACTTTGACTTTTTCATTTGAACAATGGTAATAGGTAACACTTTTTATTTTGTGTGTTGGATCCTGATACATCTGCACAGGGTATTTAATGCTTTTCCTCCCTTGTGTCCCCAGAGTCCCACTGGGGGAAGGGATGCTCGTTAGCCTGTTATCCCAGGGTACTTCATTTCACACCCAAATGCTCTTGGTTCACTTACCTTCAGTTCGGTACCTATTAGGTCACTGGTCTTGGGTGTCCATTATAGGATTATAAATATCTTTAAAAGGGTAATCCCTTTGCAGTGTGCATTATAGGATTATAAACCTCCTAAATATCTTACGCTTTATCTGCCCTTTAACATAGAGGCCCTTATTTCAAGTCCCTATTGACCAGGTATTTTCATTCTTTGTCCTTGGCCTTTGTAAAGAAAATCCTTTTTGCCTTGGGATATTATAGGAGAGCTCATCAGAAGTGATCTAGCAACTTCAAAATTGTCATCAGTATGCTTTTAAAACCCCTGTCTTCAATAAATTATTATTTGGACTTAAAGAGGCATTCTCAGTTCTTCTCATTTCTTTACCAATCAGTTTGTCAAAATGAGGTTTTGAAATTCATTTGCAAACCATAAAATTGCTCAAGACAGAAGTTGAATTTAAAGATTGGTAAAACCTGGATACCAAAAAATCACAAAGAGAATCTTTCTTCCAGTGACAGGGCCAATTGGCTAGAAATACACATGTGCTTTATAAATTTTTTAAAAAAACAGCCAATCAATCTTAAAAAGAGTGGAGCCTGACGTGAGAAAAGAAGGAATTGGAGGGGGTAGGAGATCAGACAAAAGCTTTTCTTGCAGTTTTGTGAATCTGAACCTTTATTTTTTTACAGATTCGCTTTCTCAGATGCAAACACTTTAAATTGATGGCCATCTACAAGTTTTATCGGGAGAAAGAAATAGTTTTTCAGCTGGTGCTACCTACATTTGGGGATTGCCATAGGTCGAAAATTGAGACTGCAAGCAGGAGAGTAGGTCACGTTTGCTCCGATGTAAAACAAGGGAATCTTTAAATGCTATGTGGGAGCAATTTTTCATTATAGACTTTCATGGCCATAACTGAACTTTCAAGTATGTATCATATGTTTATAGGATAGATGGGAGCTATGGTCATTTAGATAAATTAATAGTTTATGGATGTTCACTTTAAGTATTAGCCCCAGGGGACTTTTGAGAGAGCAGCATTTGGCCCTCTCCTCTCCAGAGTTTTAACATACAGCTGGTTCAGAGGCTCAACTGGGAGCTGGAATATGTTGCTGTTGACCCGATGGTTTATTGTTCATAAGTTGAATTCAGCAGTTTATTTATGTTGTCTTTTGTTCCAAACTTCCCAAGGAGAAATTTAGTTGCCAGGCACAGATATTAATTTTCTTTACACTGAAAACTTTGCAAAGTACCTTTGCCAGAATGTCATTATCTCTGGGTTTGGTTAGTGAGCTGTTGGAAGCTGTGCTGCAAGTGAGAACAGACTGTAAATTGGTCTTCACCTTGAAGACGACATTTTCACGCAGTTTGTATCAATTTTTTGGTAGGTATGGAAGTTTACATTCTTTTTTTTTTTTTTTTTTTAGCATTTTTTATGTTCTAAGTCTCCCTGCAATGGTTGAGTCTTTGTTGCTTCATAGAGCTTGGGTAAAATTGTTTGGATTTTTTGGGTCTTAAGGGTGAAAAATGACATGCTAAAGACTGATATTTGAGGCAGACAGCTTCACAAAGACAGGGCTGGGAAAGGGAACTAGTTGGGAAATTATAAATATTATAAGCAACTGAGTAAGTCAGGTATGAATGTGTTGATTCTAACAGGGAGCTGATAATATGTCTGAATAAAACCATGCCTGCTCTTTAGTTGGGAGAAATGGCAGGTGGAGGAAACCTGTGAATTCTCTGCCTGCCTTTGCAATCTTCCCAGAGATTTTTAAAGCTTCATTTTTGTTGCCTTGAGGCATCCATCACAAAACGATTCCCTCCTGCTCACTTATTTTGACCTTTCAGACATTCACTAAAATTGCACAGATAGGAAGGAAAAGGCCAGGCAGCATTGCTATCACTGTTCTGGCAGATGTTGAAATAATACCTACAGATAGTGTAATATTTATTAAGCTGCATGTGGATCTAATCAGAAAAGTGGAAGTTAAGAATATTGATGTGACGTTGACACAGCCATGATGATGTTGCCACGGAAGCCAGAAGTTTTTTCTCTGATATTTGAACTCCTGTTACTTGTTTCATGGTTAAAGGTTTCTTTTAAATTAAAGGAGCATCACCATGAAATTTAATAATGTTTATGAACTTATGTAAGCCCAGGTGCTATGCTGAGCTCCACTGGGCTTTGACCAGTACATTTTTCTGTTTCTAAAAATACTTACTCTCCTAAATTGAAAGGCCTAAATAGATAAATCTCATCTGACCTCACAGGAAGGACAGTGAACGTGATTAAACTGATGGCTGCGCAGAGGAGAGGAGGGTGAACAGACGGGAAAAAAACTCCTACCTCTCTTCCAGTATCTGATCAAATCATCTTGGATGTTTCTTAAAATCAGAGTTGTTTTTATTCCTTTCCCATCTGAACTGCCACTTCAGATGTAATATTTCTCTTAATCTGTTTCTGCCGCATGATCTGTACAAAAGCTATCACAGGGCCTGTCAGCGCTGAGTCAGTGTTCAGCTCTGCTCTTCAGTTTTTGCTGTGTTTGATTGAATCTTCCTTGCACAGTCCATCTGTCTAAACCTTCGAAATGTTGATTCTGTTTATTACTCTTTCAAATATTAAAATTGATGAAGAAACTATTTACTTTTCCATGGAAGCCTTCAAAATTTGCCCTGGAGAAAATCTGTATGGCTGGCTTTGCCTGCCTGAGAGCTACACCTGCCTGATACTGATTGGCAAGAGCCTTGCATCCCTGCTTCTTGATGGATTCCGTTATGAAACTTGATTTCCTTCTTTCTGAGGGGGTTGTTGCCCTTCTTAATAGGGATACATCTTGGTTATGCGTTATCATATTAACAAACAAGTCCTGCAGACCATCTCTGATGGTATTAACTCTGCTCTTCTATATGGTGCAGCAAAATGTAGTCATTGTGCTCATGCTACGTCTAGCCAGTGTTTGTTCTCTTTCTGCCAGATTCTTCTTTACAATCTGGAAACAAGTCAGTGTCTGAAGAAGATGGGCAACTCGATAGGTGACTTTACATGTGTCAACCTCCAGAACAGTCCTCCAAACATGCTTGTTACAGGCAATAAAGACAGAAGGTAGGTACTACCAAGAGCTGTAACCCATCTCAAATTAGCTTCCTTCCTGTCCTGCTGTCCTACATCTGGACCTGCTAGAATTTGTTTCTCCTCTAATGTTTCAAATGCAGCCTGCATGAACTTCAGGAACAAAATATTAGGTAATAGTTGGATGTGGCTGCCAGTTTGCTTTGTTTTGGAAAGCTCCATGGGAAGACTTTCTTTCTAAGCCATTTGGTGGACGCAGTTGGTGTACAGCCCAGCGAGACCACTTGGAATATCTTCCACTTCCCCACCACCACCCGCAAAATTAGTTTGGCATTTAAAAGCTCACTTTCTGATATTAAAAAAATAACCTAAGGGATGAATCATGTAGGATGAGATGGGTCCGGCTGCCAAATGATGTCAAGAGTGTATTTCGGAACACTGTGATGTCCCTCAGGTGACAAAAAAAAAAGAGACTTTTGTATGAACAGATTCCAGCTTCTATTTAGCTGATTAGCAGCTTTCTCTTTAACTCCTTGGCTTGGGGAGTAGGATTTTCCCAGCACAATATCTGGTGCCAGGAATGGACGCGCTGGGAACAGTCAGTGTGAAAGGATTAAAGTGCTTAAAAAGACCCTTTGAGTCCAATTTTTAGATTTTCTTTTTTTGGCTAGTTATTTGTGGGGTCTGATCCAGTGCACCAAAGGAGATGTGGGATGGCGAGGAGCCAGTCTCTAATGGCTCCCTCTTCCTTCCCTCCTCCTTTCTGCACTGGGCATCAGGCTGCAGGTGGTGGTCTGCTGTGGTGGTGGGTATCAGATTGTAAGGCGGATACTTCCCTTTGCCAAATCCCAGACCTCTGTCCCGCCAGTGCAGCAGCTTGCAAAAATGATTATTTTGTCAAACAGCTTTTTTTTTTTATCTTTGCAGTGAGTAGGCAGTGCAAGCAAACCTCACACTTCCTCAGCAAAGAGGATAAAGGAAATATCTGAAGTTTGACATGTGTAATTGAATCCTTGGGAGTTGGTTTTTTTTTCCCCTCTAAAAGAAAATCATTGATTTTCCAAAGCACTCCAGTAAAAACTACCTCCAATTTTGGGCTCTTGCACAATGATGGGAGAGTAGATAAAGTTGGTATCCCTTAAGAGAGACTGAAATTTACTCCTTTCATATTAGATGTCTGTGTCCTTTCCTCTCCAGAAAGCTTTTCAGTTTTTCAGCTCAAGCACTGACTGAGTTCTGGGCTTAGCCATCATTAAAATAGCAGGAAGTTAGGAATCAGTAGTTCAGCAAATAAGTTTGGCATCCAGGAGACAAGACCATGTGTATCTCGGAGGTCAGTCCCTCACGTGGTGCTGTGTGAAGGTTATTAATAGGTGCTGGGCATCCACAGGTGGGATGTGGCTTGAACCTCCGTAGCCCTATTCTGGAGCACGTGTACTAAACAGGGACCTTGCTGTGTGAGTTCAAACTGCTGATGACCAGTGGGGAATTGTATTTCTGGGATGAAATACAGCAGTTTCACAACTTTACTAGTATATGCTCTTCTTTTCAAAATCATAGCTTTGAATAAAAGTAACACAGACCACCCTGTTGAAGTCAAATATGTTTGGTAGGGTCTATAAAAATCTCTTTCCATAAAAAAAATACTCCTGAAGCATTGCTGATGTGTTTGAATACTTAGCTGTGCTTCACACTGATGAGATCTGATAACAGGGAGCATGTGCTGATCCCTGTACAACAGCAGCTGTTCTTGACAGAACCTGAGATGGTCAATAGCGTTGGGGAAGCAAACATATGGCAAGCCCAGTTGTCCTGGTTTTTGCTAGGAGAGAGTTAATTCTTCTTCTTAGTAGCTAGAAAGCACTGTGGTTTGGTTTCAGTGTGGGATTTGTTATGAGAAGAATGTTGATAAGGTACAAGGACATCATGTTGGGGTACTTTGCAAGTGCAGAGGACTGGGAGGGGGAAAGTGTAGTAGTTAGCAAAACCCAGAATTGGCAGTTGGCTATGACAGTGAGATGTTCCATCTGGGAACATCTGGGCTGACCAGAAAGGGGCAGGATTCGCTCAGGCTGGCTTTTCCAGGACTGCAGTTTGGGGTTTGGGGTTCCTTTTCACTCCTCTGGGATTGCTATCAGTGGGTGGTGAGCAGTTGTACTGTGTATCACGTGTGTGTGTATATATATGTGTGTGTGTATATATATATATTTATCATTATTATCATTACTATTTTAATTTTATTTTACTCCAATTATTAAATTGTTCTTATCTCAACCTACAAGTCTCTTGACCTTTACCCCTCCACTTCTCTCCCTGATTCCCTGGGTGGGGGTGGTTTGAGTGACTGTATCTTCCTTGGCTGCCGGCTAAGTTAAATGATCACACCAGTGTATCCCATTGCTGAAAAGTCTGGAGCAAAACATGTATTCCATGCTCTCCTAAAGGCAAGTGAGCTTGCTTCCAAGATAGTCTAACAGGAGAGTCAAAGCCTGGTCACAAGACCACCTTCTTTACAGCTCCCTGGAACTGGGATGAATGTGATGTGCTCCCACTGAGCCCAGCTGCTGAGGCAGGAGATGGAGATCCATGCCAGATCTGCATTAGAGCATCACATTGGATTTGCAAAATGCTTTTCCTTTTTTTTTTTTTTCTTTTTTTTTTCTCCTTTTTATTTTTTAAAGCACATCTAAACAACTCAAGTGTGCCTCTAATTCTTCCAAGGTTGTGCCAGAATGGACACCTGCCCGAAACCTGGGCCCTTGTTAATGAAATAACCAGGACACAATCAGATCTTCGTTTCCAACTGTGCTTACCAAACAGAAGAAGCTTTGATTGCTCTGCAGAACACATGCAGTAAGACAGGGAGAGCGCTGAGTGTGAACGCTTCCAAAATACCCCATCCTTCCCCAAAAGATAACTCTAATATGTAGCCAAAGCTTCTCTCTGCTGGAGATGGAGAAAGCAAGAAGTCTTTCTCACCATCAGCAACTGTTGTGGTGGGGTTTTCCTGAGGGTGAGTGCAGAGCCACACAAAGCGTGCTCCTCGCTCTGTTCCAGCGTGTTTGTCTGCGTGTCAGATGGATGTTGCTCTGTTGGAGTTTTGGACTGTTCTGTTACTTTTTAGTTCAGTTGCTGAAATGTGTTATTTGTAAAATCATATGATGCAATCTCCATTTGAGAAAGGAAAAGGAAAAAGACTTGCAACACCATTAGGATCGTAGCAGGGGTATGGAATAAAGTACAGTTAATGTGTTGGAACAAGTGTGTTTTGGCCTTTTCTGGAATTAATGTGTACCTGATGGTTTCGTTCTTGATAGCCATCAGCTGGAGGAACTTTCTCTGGCTTCTTTTCAAATCTGAGAGCAGTATTTCCCTTTTACTTCTGTTTTCACTCACTGCATTGGTTTTTTGTTTTTATTTTATTCACTTATGTACTTTATTTTATCTCTTAATCTTGATATATAAGAATCAAAAACCATACTCCTTTATGATATGTCCCGGGTTTGAAACTTAACACCATTAACTTTAACTGGTTTTGTGGACTTGTTGCCATGGTTGAAATCCATGCTCTTTTTCTACAGTTCTGCTTCTAGCTGAGTCTTCAATAAGTTTCTTTTCAAAATGCCTTGTCTGAGTGAACAATAATTTCTGAAAACCAGATGTACCTAAAAGTTGCCCACAGTCAGTAGCTGTGTTTTTGAAATCAGAAGAGAAACTGATTCCTGGCTGCTTGTGGATTGTTTTGTTTCAATATTAACTCAAACGTATAAACCTATATAAAACCTTCCCTTGACTTGTCCTTTGAATTGCCACACATTTAGTCTCTTCCTGAATCTTTGTAATAATAGTCCTTTCCTTGATCCTCGGAATAATATTACCCCATGGTCATTAGTGGATGAGGGGTAGGATGTGTTAGGAGTATGCCCAAAACACTTTATGCCTCACAGCATTGCTAACATTTTGGGAGGCACGGATAGAGGAGCTTTCTCCAAATTTCACTTATATTTTATATCAGCTAGGACTTGTAAATTGACAGAGAGGTCCTGTATGGTGGGAGAAATCTGCCTTAAAAAATCTTTATCATAGAAATCAGAATGAAAATTCAGTGGTGAACAGTGTCAGCTGTAGTGGATTTCTGGCCCTGTAGTGGCTGTGGGACTGCTGCTGTCCTAGACATATTTCATAACCCCAACAGTACTTGTGCTCTCGGAACCCACAGGCTGCAGATCCACAGCAGGTTTGATCTCTGGTTTTTATTTGCTTTCCTCTAGGGTCAGGGTATTCGATCTCCGCAAAAGCGAATCTCTGTGTTCCCTCTATGCTCACCAGTTAGGAGTGTCTGCGGTCCAGATGGATGACTGGAAGATCGTCAGTGGAGGAGAAGAGGGCTTGGTCTGTGTCTGGGACCAAAGGATGGGCACCAAACTCTGGGAAATGCATGCCAGGTAATTTTGTCTGCATGGGGTCCTATTGCAAGGGGGTTTATCAGATCTGGCTGTCAGGGGGAATGTGGGAATGGGATGAGCCAGGAGCAAAATTATAACATGCCCATGTCTAAAGCTTCTGAGAGTTCTCTTTAGTTTTCATGTGATTTGGGAACAGATTGCCTCCCCACCTGCTGTCTTGCGTGTATTTCTGTGTATGCCCTTTAGCTTTTTACTCATTAGTTAAGAAGAGTGCTTCAGTTGGGGTAAGGGAGCATGGAAATTTTCCCCTGGATTTTCTATGAAGTTCAGTTAGCGTCTTCTCCCTGCCCCATCCCCAACCAGTATTGATTTTACTGAACCTTGGATTTAAAATGCTGGACTCCTGGCTGTTGTCTTCAGAGTGACTGGTTCTGGCTGTCTCTCTCTGCTATATCCTTACACAATAGTTGTGTTTCTGTTCACCTCATTCACACATTCCCTTAGTGGCAACGATCAAAGCCAGGCTGGTATTTAAACTCATTTAAATATTAAAATACCAGTTTGTACTGAAAGCACAAGAAGTACCATATTGAAAGTACAAGCAGAGATCAGTGTCCTGGAGCTGACAGAAAACTCTTAGTTGCTACAGCCAAACTATGATTTCCTGATCAAGGCACAATTCCCAGGGAGTTACCTTCGTCTGAACTAAGACCTCAAGGATTTACCCCCTTGTGAGTCTGAGTGATACCCTTAATAAAATGAACAGATAAATTGAACAGATAAATCCTGGCCTCTTTTTTTTTTTTTCTTTTTATTCTTTTTTTGTTAAATGCATCTTCCCCAGAGAGGAGCTAGATGAGGTATTTACAGTCAGAGAAGTTGAAGTTGGAGTTGTCATTGATTAATAGCAGATATCTCTTTCTCTTTTGACCCTGTGAATTATAAAGCCCGTTGTGATGCGGCCGATGCATTAAGGACAATATTGCATTGATTGTCTCCTGCAGCAGCACTAATGAGCGTGCCAAGAAAGAGGGCAGGCAGTGCAGGTCTGAGCTTTGGGGGTGTACTAAAAGTGAAACCATTAGGCTAAACATTTGAAATACTGTTTAATCTATATAGGAATCAAAAGGGATCACTTCAATCAAAAAGGCCTTCTAGATAAGAAGGTGTGTGTGGTGTTATCCGTGCCTACAGCCCAGAGTCTTGAATGGAAAGCAAGGGCTTTCTCAGGGAGATAACAGGAGACACATTAGGGTTGTGGAGATGAGCCATCTTAATCTAAGATAAGTTTCTCCTACTTGAACAGTAAATGCTGTTTCAATGGTTCAGGTTTAGTTTATTCACCAGTGAGAAGAAAAGGAATGAAGACCAGACCTTAGTGCCACAAAGATGATGAAGGCCTGGAGCATCTCCCGTGTGAGGAGAGGCGGAGAGAGCTGGGACTGTTCAGCCTGGAGAAGAGCAGCCTGAGAGGGGA